GGAAAGTCAAAAAGTAAATGACAAAGGGATAAATACTCAGCAATTTGGCATCTATAATATAATTATTCGAAAAAATAATCAATATGCTTTTTCCATAAGTCATAACAAATCAACCAACATCACCATAAACGGTAGCGTCAGACCTTCCATCACTGAAGGACAAAAAAAATTCTATCACAAATTATTTGTAACATCTGGAAAATGAGTATAATTTTTATACTTCATTGTAATTTATTTATTTATTTTTATATCAAGATATTGACAAATTTTTTCGAACTTTATCAAAAATTAATCTCTCTTAGCATTAAAATTATTCCTTTCAATATTATTATTTTTTATTAATTCTAAGATTCAAATCTAGACTTTAAAACTTAAAAATCAATCGTAACACCAATCATCAAGTCTCAATGTTTGTAATTTATTTCCCCGTCTAAAATTGTTTTTTCTTTTTTTTTTTCAATTCATACCGTGTCACTGAATTTTGCACAGGCTTCAATCACAAAAAGAAACTCATCTATTAAGAGAGAACGAACTCGAATACAACCCATTTTACACATACATGCATCTCGCAAGTTTTCTTTTCATATCAGGAGGCTAAATTCGGGTACTCAACAGACCTATCAATATGTATGCTATTGGGACAAAATCCACACGACGAAAGAAAATGATGAATGAACAGATATGCTTATTCCCCATTTTTTGCAGTGACTGAAATGAGGCTTCATTCTCAAAATCAATGGCCCATTTGTTATCTACATTGTAAATGTCACGTGCTTGCAGCCGAACAAAATACGCTGAACACAGCATAATCAAGAAATACTTTTAAGCCTTTTGAGACGTAAAAACGATCCTAGAGGATTGAGAATGGGGCGAGGGAGCCATTCTTTACAATTTCAAGAACAGAATGCAAGTAAAAGAAAAAATCTTTACCGTTCATTACTTGTCCCTGCACCCTCACTAAATATAGCCACTACGTACATGATCACCATCATTGTCATAGTCATCCCCCCATAATATTTTTTCTTCTTAATAGACAAAATATTTTGAAAATAAGATTAAGCTCCAAAAAAATGAAAATTACAAAGCATGCATCAATGCCAGAAACATAGACAATTCTTCTATTCATCAATATAACCAAAATCAAATTGAAACTCAGTTCTAAAATTGACATTTACAACTCATATCTTACAACACTAAAGCCTGTAAATCTACCATGAGTCTATGATCATCTGATTTACAAAAAAGTAAACATATTGTACAGAAAGAAAATGAAATTGAGGGTAACCTGGCCAAGAGTTGTATACAGAACCAAAGACACTGCTCTGACTGGTTAAAAGAAAGAGTAAACCCCTACGTTGGTTCTCAAAAGATTAATGTGCTACCACATTAGTCCTCTAAAATTTTGTCACCGAATTAATCTATTAAAAAATATAAAATAATTACCGAATTCATCTTTTTGTATCACCATTTGTCATGTGGTGATATATCATATCTTTTGAGGGAATATATTGTTGACAAAAATCTTTGGAGGGCTTATTAGGTCACACTGGAATCTATGAATGACCAACTTCAGAGTTTACTCAGATAAACTAAAGCAAATTGATACCTGCAAAGGAAACCAAAAAAAAAAAACAGCAATTTGATACATTAGAACAGCAATACCAATATCTTCAAGTTAAGAAACTTCAGGGGGAAAATATAATATTGATAAAAAAAGTACCAGGTACGACAAACAATGCTAGGTTAAAGGGAAAAAGAACTGAACATCTATTGAAACATACCATATTTAAAGCTGACGCAGAAGGCAGGAGACCACATTGTACTGTATTCAAAAGGAGTGAGCACAAGAGAAAATAAATTCTATCAATATCCCTTATCTTGACTTTGTCCATAGCCAAACGACTTGAAACAGAGGATTTTTATTGCTTTCAACTATCACCAAAAGTAATAATCTGCCTAAGTGCAAGGCTCGCAGGAAGCTGCATCAACAGAAGAACATTTAAAAACCAACTACTTTACAGTACAGAACATAAAAGATTCAGGATGAAGATTAAAGGACCTTCACATCCATGCAAGAATCATTGACCATCTTCTTTATTCGAGAAACAATGCCAAAACTACGGAGATTTACAATCCGACCAAATGCACCTGGACTAGCAGGAAAAGTGAGGTTTACTACAACCCAAACAGCAGCTGTGCGTAAGCGACTGTCATTACTCTTCAAAAACTGCTCGAAGAAAGAGCAAGACCGATTCTCATCTTGAGGGAAGAGTAGTTGCATTACTGCTTCCTTATGAAACTCATTGCCACTTGCGATATTGCTGAGAACATACATCCCCTGCATGAAAAATAAAATCAAAAGGCATAAATAAACAACTCAGAGAATGATATTAGTAAAGTGTGGACATCTATTTCATCATTCTATACAAAAATAATTGATTCAAAAGTTAATTCCAACCTGTATCCCAATTTCAATTTTTGAAGATTTTTGTAATTGTCTTCCAACAGCATCTAGTATAATACCATCTTCAGCAAAAGCATGTTCAACAGAGTACACACATCCATCAACAAAATTGCGAACAAGGGCCAGAGCTTGTTCTTGAACAGAAGGTTCTGGATCTGCATAGTATATACAATCAAGGGCACTTATTTGGTAATAGACTAATAAGAACCAATAAAACAAAAAATCTGAAGTGTCAATAAATACCATTGATAAGGCTAGCCATTGAAGAGGCTGTTAACTCCACGAAAATTCCTTCCTTGCACATCTTATCTGCAAGGAATACCATGTTTCTCAAGGCCCATACAGCATTTAACCTTAAAGACGAGTCCATTGACTTCGCCAATTGCACAAGCTCTTTAATGCCCCCACATTGTATGAATGTTGATTTATGTGGCATAAAGTCAACCACTATGTTGCTGATGGCACCAAGGGCTGCAACCTGTAAGATAAAACAACAAAAGATCTGCCTTACTAAACTAAAATTTATGGGGCAACGTCTGTTTAATTACAATAAATCAATATAATATTTTCCCAACAAAAAAATTAATGATATGATAACATATACTATAGCCCTTGTGATAACCTCATATCATACAAGTGCAAGAAACAATATGGGTGAGATAACAGGTAAGCTTATAGTAGCGACCAACAACAATAGGATAACATATTATCCATTTGAGACAACCTCATTTAATTTGAGATATAACAATTTCAATGCTAAATCATTTGCATTTGTCCACCAATATGTCAGTGCTTCTTGTAACAGCCTTTTTTATGAACGGGACAACATAAATGTTTCAAATTTAGATCAATAGAGAATAGCATCAGACTATTATCACAATAGCATACACATAGTCAAATAAATTTATGAGTAACAGATGTATATATATATATATTCAAATCTTTTTTTACTCTGTACCCCTCAATTTCTAATGCTTAAAAGCCCATCATTTGGTATGATAATCACTTCCTCTTCCAAACCTACAAGCTACTCAATGTAATAATAAAAAAAATGAAAATTATATATACAATCAAAATACCTGGACAGAAGTAGAAAGATCAGAGAGAAGCTGAACCAAAGGAAAAACAACCCTTTCATTCATAAAACGACCTGCACTCAAATTCTGAACAGAGTTTTATGAGAATTAAATTATACATGGCAATAGCATAAAACACTTAAAGTGCTAGATGTCATCTCATGTTACTGACCTTGATTGAGCGAGAGACACTTCTTAAGCAAATGCAAGCTGCAGTGCGTACATTGGCATCCTCATGAGTTAAGGCATCAACTACTAGGTTTAAGACCTGGATCACAAAAGCGTATTAGAAGTTGAAAGTGGATTTGGGATCTGAAAAAATAGTTCATTGGTGCAAGCCTTAATATAACTTCATCCATACATAGTTTACGGGTGCAAGCCTTATTATAACTTCATCCATACATAGTTTACTGGTGCAAGCCTTATTATAACTTCATCCTTTTTGAGATTGAGAAGAAAGACCAAAATTGGCTCTGGTCATCTATCAGGAAGAAATACGGCTTAGCACTGATTCAAACATGTTCATAAATGGGAACATGGGGTGGTATAAAATATTATGCCAACAACAATAAATGTCCAAATTCACCAACACCTATAAATAATCAAAGCAAGCACCAAAACATTTTGTTAACATTCGATTTATCCAGGTGCAAAAATTTCGATCTTTATGGCAGACTTTGGGATTCACCTAGTGGGATAAGGCTATATTCTGGTTTTTTATGGCAGACTTTGGGTAAAATGTAACAATTAGTTATTTAGTTGCAATTTGCAAGGTAATCAATCACCTTAATGATAAGTAAAATAAAAATGATGTCCCTAATTAGTTGTTTCTGCTGAAATACTTTTACATATGAAAATATCAGCAAAAGTATATTTACATGTAAAATCCTATATACATAAATGTGTTGCTACTTGCTAGTAAGAAAGTAGTATGAGCTAAATAATTTAAAAATTATTTCAGTTAAACTAATATTGTTCAAGAAAACACATGCAGAAACTGCATGCAAACACACAGGTAAATAGACAAATGAAAAAAAAAATAATAATCATAAAGATGTTACTAACCTGTGCTATAAAATAAAGAGAAATAACATAACATTCCAAAATGAAAAGATGCAACATGAAAAGGAGAACAGGAAAAAAGCAATGTTTTAAAACCTGGATAGTGGCACGTAGCAGTCGGCCCCAAAAAACACTAGCGAGATAGCGTATAGCAAGATAGCCACTATTTTGAATTTTTTTATATAGTTCATAATATAATGTATACTATGTACATATAAATTCTAAAAAATGATGAAAGTACTCAAAGTTAATGACATTCATAATTAACCATAAAACGTCTTAAGTGTCTTAAACAAAACACACAAGTAAATACAAGATAGGAATCATCAATCATTATCATCTTCTAAATCCAAGTCTTCTTTATCATTTTCACTACTATTACATTTATAGGTTTCATTTTTGGAGATTAAAATTTCAAAAAAGACCTCCAAAAAGCCCTAATGTCTCTGCTAAGAAGGAATTTTTTTAGAATCAACACCTAGCGCCATTATAGTGCCTGATATGGCCGCTATTCAACCCGCTAAACTAAACTGCTCCGCTACGGCAACTCCTGTAGCAGGCAATGGCAGCTCCATACCACTACACCACTATAGTGTACTACTTAAAACCCTGGAAAAAAGATCCAGAGAAGGTAACTATAGCAAGCCTATTAGTTTCAGGATTCTTAATTTGCATCCTGCCACACTATCTATTACATTTCTCCAATCATAGACCTGCTACCTTTAATCCTTGTGTGCACCCTTGCATATGGTGCTATAAAAATGGTAAGAAATTAAGACCCACAACTTGAAACATAATGAACGACTATAAAAATGGCTGAGTGCCGCTTTTTCTTTATAACTTTCATGTCTCAATTTTGCAGCAATGGAGATAATTATGCATGTGATCAAAAAACAGAAACACAGACACAAGCAACAGACCTGCAATGAAAGAAAACTAGACCTGCAGCACTCCAATTTTGAGCACAGATCAGCCAAGGCCAGAAATACCCCTTCAAGCCGTTTTGGATGCACAGGACACTTTTGCAAGAGACAGTTAAACTTATTAATAGCATTTGCCTCAAATGCTAACTTCTGCAAATCTTCCTTCTCTGCAATTAAACTTGAGAAAGCAAAAGCAGCTTCATCTCCAACTTGACCGGAATCATCAAGGAGCTCAAGCAAAATGTATACCAATTTGGTTTTGATTCCTATGTCTTGAAGATAGCAAGACGAAGAATTCTTTACAGAAATCAAGCACAAGCATGCTAGTAACCTTGTTCGAGGATATCTGTCTTTAGTTAGTTCAGTTACAGAACATAAAGCTCTTCCACTATGAAGTTCCACAAATTTAGAGACAGCTGCTGGGTTGTTTCTAATAATTGCTGCTAAGGACTCAAGACTAGCATCTCGCTGACTTAGAGAACCATCAAGAAGGCTAGTAAGTTTCTCTAAAACACCAGTGTCACATAATATATTTTGTTCCCCAATTGTCTTGCAAGAATGAATAACAATGCCTGCACCTAGTCCGGTAAGATTTTCATTCTCACTTTTCAATAACGACAGAAGAAATTGCATGTTTTCCTCTTGAGAAAAGTCATACTTTGGAGCAAGTTTTGATTGATAAATCATTCGTAAAGAACGAGCAGCAGCATCCACAACCTGATAAGGAGAGAATGGACAGTTAAATGGCATTCCAAATGAAAAAATAGCATTAAAAAAAGGGGAAAATAATAAATAACGAAGCCAATGTTTCCTATTTAAATCTTTCCAACGAAGTACTTCCTTCACTCCACTGCAATTTTTTCTTCTTTTCCATTATCACTCCACATGTCCCTAATCCTAAGTTTCATAGTCACCGAAAAAGAAATATAAAAATTCTTTTGTGGCTTGATCACAATTCACACAAGTAACAAAAATTGTATACTAAACATCAATAAGCATTCTACTCACAAACAAGATAGAATACATCAATATTGAATGATTCAAAGGCTACATCCGTACTTAAAATAATCCAAAATTTATAGCAGTGAAGAAGAACTAGGAAGCATAATTCATACTTTCATAGTTCCAAAACCATAATTACACTCCAGAAAATGTAATTGAATTCTAAACAAGCACTTGGTAGAGACATTAACTATTTTGAAGTGAAACAAAACCGTGACAATCAGAGTTATAATTTCCAGTTTCATTAGATTACGACGAAGAAAATCTAACAAATAATGAAGCAAACAATCCAGTATTCACATTTCATTTTATTTTAAAACTTAAACCAAAAGCACTGATCACAGAACGCATCAAATTTCAGACAAACCAAATATTTTATAAAAAAAAATTCACAAGAAACGGTTGCAAACAATTGAATATTTGAATCACCTTCTCGTCGGGAGCGGAGAGGAGTCCGATCAAACGAGGAAAAGCTCCAGCGTCGAGGACGGCGCGGACGCCGGCGTCCACGCCGCAGGCGAAGCTGCCGAGCGCGGCGGCGGACTGGACAATGAGGTTGGGGTCGGAGTCGGAGAGTGCGGCGGCGACGGCGGGGACGGCGCCGAGCTTGATGTAGGAGACCTTCCTGGTTCGGTTTCCGATGATGTGGTTCTTCACCTCGCGGATGGCTTTGAATTTCACGTCGCAATCGGAGGAGGCGAGGCGATTCAGGATTGGATCGGAGGAAGCGGACGGCGTTGGCATGGCGGCGGTAGGATGCGGCGGCGGCGACGGTGGCGGAAGCTCGTGCGAGGCGGAGGAGATGCTAACTCACGAAACCGTAGAAGAGAGAGAAGAGAAAGGAGCGAGAGAGAAAATCCTTTTGTTTTTTATTTTAAATAAATTCATTATTTTCTGATATAATATATTGTTATTTTTTTATTTATGATGGTGATGACGACGAAAATCCAATAGTGGAGTGGGACAGTTGTTTTTGAAGACGTGTTCAAAAAATTCTTCTTCTTCTTTTTTTTTTTACCTTAAGTATTTACAAACCCGTAATAAGGTTCTTCATGGTCATTTTACACATAAAAAAATTTAATAATAAAAAAATCAAGAAAAGTCAATTAATAAAAAGAATAATAATTTTTATAATAATTTTTTAAAATAATACGATACAACAATTATTTTCTAATTATTTGCTACGGTCTTTTTTAATTGTTGCTTTTTTTAAGTAAAGTTTGTTTTATTTATATGTTATTTTTAAAGTTCAAGGCTATATTAATTTTTAATTATATTCTTACATCTCATCTAACTTTTAATTAATTTACATATTAACAACTAATATGACATTTATTTTAGAACTTATATTTTATTTTAACTCATGACTTGTTATGAAAAGGAAAGAGTAATATTTTTTTAAAATTTTTAAAAATCATTTTCTAGTTTAAACTTTTTTATATATGATATCTAAAAATTATTTATATATATTTTAAATGTTATATTATGCGTTAAAATAAAAATAATACGATGAAATAATAAATAATTTTTGGAATGAAGTCAAATTTAATATATACAATTTTGAATATAATATTACATAATTCAACAGTTAAATTGATTAAATTTATATTGTATACAAAAATATAAAAAGTATAAGATTTAGTATACGCTTGATATTAACGGATCTTGACTATATATCTATACTAATATATAAAGGGATTTAGTAACCACCTTGGTTTCCACTTTTTTAGACCATTATACTCTTTTTATTTAAAAAATTAGAAAAAATATTTTTTAATCAAATTTAAAAACTTAAAACTAATGAATCTATACTAATATATAAGGGAAATACCACTTTCAATAACTACATTTGGTTTTTACTTTTACATGAACTATTTTATCATTTGGTTATTTTTCAACAACTATCTTTTTACGAGTAACTTCTCATTTTTTCTTTTTTTATTTATTTTTTCTTTTAATAAAATACAGGCACAAAATACTTTTTTCCTGATAGTATATATAGAAAGAAAAAAGGTAGAAGGAAAAAAATTATTAACACATTTAACTATCAAAGTAAATGCTTTATCAAAGTTTAAAAGAATAAGTAAAACCTATTAACAAAGAGAATATTTTTTACATGCAATGAAGCAAAAAATAAACATTAAAACTATCAAATACAAACCTATATGTGTTATTATGTGTTGTATAGAAAATAAAATACATAAATAAAATGTGAATATAAGATTAAGATAGAGATGAAAACGAAAATAAAATAAATCAAAAAATTAAAAATAAAGAAAACTAAGAGAATTCATAATAAGAAAAATAGGAAAGAAAGAAAATTATACCTAGAAGAAACTTCTTCAAGAAACTCTTTTGTGTGAGAAGGTGAGAGAAAAAAAATAAAATATTGATATATTAACGATTATAAAAGATGTTTTATACATGAATCGCCTGATATTAAACTTTAAATTTATTTATTTTTAATAAATATATAATTAATATATATTATTTAAATGTTGCTTCATAGTACGTCTCTGGCTCTCTATTGCGACGATCTCGTGGGAGCCCCACCACAGTCTCCTCGACCTCAACCATGCCTCCCACAACATGCTCTCCGTGCTCCGCTACCAGTGCTTCACTTTCTCCAACAACCACCGTCAACACAAGGAAGAAGATTTAATTTTTGAAGTCTGAAGCTAAAACCAAAGGAAAAAAAAAAGACAAAATGTAAATTCAACTTTTTAAAAATTAGTAAATTTATCTACATGCAACTTTGTAAAATATTTTAAGATTTAAATAAATTTAAGATATGTATTCTTTTTATACTTAGAATTTAAAATTTGTATTTTTAGTATTTAAAATATAAAAAAAAATATTATTTTGGTCCTCCTATTTAAAAATTTATCTTTTTGATGTCTCAATTTTAAAACATACGTTTAAGCTCCCAAAATATAAAAAACCATATTATTTTAGTCACCAGCTCAAAAGTCATTAATTAATTTGTTAGCGTTCTTTTTTACTAGTGTCATTATTAGTGAAATATCACATTAGACTAACTAATATTATAAAACTGTCTTAATTTATTATTGTCAATTATTTTACAAAGAAAGATCTACTTACTCTAAGAATAAATCTATCTATACTTCCTTTTTATTTAATAACTCATGTTCTACATCAAATTTTAATGATCTAATTGTTGAGTTAAAAGTTTTTGATGCCTATATCAAGTTTACAAACTTTTTTACATTCTGTTTCATTAATTCAAATTGGCAAATAATCATAAAAATATTTATATGTTGATTTAAATTAATGAAATAGAGTACCAAATAGTTTTCATTTTTAAAAAAAAAATTCATACTTGACCTATGTACTAAGAACTTTAAATTTAATGATTTGATCATTAAAATTTGATGTAGAACACAAGTTATTGAGTGAAATAAGTATAGATACACCCTAATATTATAAAATTAGTAGATCCCTCATTTTATTTTATTACTAATATTATAAAATTATTTTAATTTATCACTATCAATTATGTTATTATTAATGTCATTGCCAGTGAAAACAACTCATTAAATCAACTAATATTATAAAATTGTCTTAATCTGTTATTGTCAATTATACTATCAGTGATTATGAGTGAATAAAATAATATTTTTAAAATTACAAGAATTAATATGACAAATAGTAAATTTGAGGGACTAAAAATTTGAAGAACTAAAATAATAATTTTTATATTTGAAGAACTAAAAATATATATTTTAAGTCCGAGAGATAAAAAAAAAATTTAAAATTACAAAAATAAAAAAAAAACAAAATTTAAATTTAAATTTAAGAAAAAAAATTACTCTAAATTTAAAAATCTAAAAACATAATTAAGCAACATCTTTATGACGCTTTTAACAAATACAGAGAGAAAAAAATAAATGCCCATTTTTTCTTTTAACAAAACACATATTTACGTCCTCGATTTCGCGAACGAGTTGAAAGGGAGACAAAACATGAGCATAAGCCATTCTGCAAAGCCACTACAAGGAAGAAGAAGACATACTAAAATACATTCAATGTACAAGTGAACCTTTATGGCTTAGATATAAAAGAACCATACAAATATGACACATACATATGCAAAAATATATTAAAAAAAATAAAAGTGGCCTAAAACTAGTTGTTGTGTGCAAATAATACTAATAGCACTAATTTTATTCGGAAAAGAAACACTATGATTATATATATGAAAATCCTCTCTTGATATTACGCAATGACTTTGCTTTCAATCAAATCAAAGGGTAAAAAACAATGAGAGAAAAACATACTTAGTTTATCACTTAACGTTTACTTCAACATTTTCGTATTTCTTCAGTTTTTGCAACATGATATATCGTTTCAGGCAGAAAACTCGAAACAAAAACAAATAATTTATTCGCTTGGTAGTAATTTGATAAACATGAGTCATTTAGTTTCAAAGTTAATCTATTTAGTCTCCAAAATAAAAATAAAAATAAAAAACTTATGCTGCTTTAGTCTTTGAACGTGCACTTTTTACAAAATTATTATATAAAAAATATCATAATATATTTTTTATAATATGATCCAATTGTAGTAAAACTAATGCATACTTTGTCTCTTAATAGGTATAAAACTTACTTTATTCTCTTGACTTTAGAGTTAATTATTACCGAAAAGTATCTAATATCAACACCGTTTATCTTGGTTGGAAATCTCATGTTGACAAGTAATTAAGTCAATAAAATATATATAAATAAAGATTAATTTTCATTTTATAGATTAATTTTATAAAGTTGAGTTAAACTTTAATTTCAATTTTTAAAAGTATATCACGTATCAGGTTTCATGATTTCAAATTTTTAAGTTAATATTGTCTAGATTTAGAAGATATTATCTTTGGTTTTAATTATAAATAATAAATTGGATTTTTTTGTCCTAATTATAAGCAACAAACATTGATTTTAAAGTTACTAAAAAGAAAATTTCTTTTATACTTTAATTAATTGTTAACTGATTTTTTCATTTTTATCATGTTTTTGTCTTAAGTGTTTAATACTTTCATGCATCATATAAGATAGCTTATCATAGGAATTATTTTAAATTTAGTCTTTCTTTATAAGCTTGTTACATTTATGTTTTGCTTTGTGATTTGCATATATTAGGTAAAGATATGATTGTTTGATGGAATCATACTTGGGAATGCAAGAGGTAACACACTCAAAGATCCAAGAGGAGTGGGCTAGACATGGAAGATTGGGCCTGTCAAGGCCCAATGGGCCCTATGGGCTTGGAAGGCCCAAACCAAGTTTCAACATAGGTCTATCTTGTTATTAACATTCTTATTATATTTTTGTTACCATAGTTTGAATATATTTTGGTCTTGTATTTTGGACCACATAGAGTAGCATTTTAGGTTTTAGGCTAGTTGGGCCTAGTTTTGGGCTTCATGGGCCTTTGGGCTTTTGGTACCCAATATTGGGCTCATTTTCATTCTTGTAATTTTTCCTTTCCATTGTAATTGTTTGACCAATGTAATTAGGTCATTAGAATAGGAAAATACAAGGAATACTAAAGTATGCTAATTAGGTTAAATTAGGTTTAATTTGGAAGTCATTTAAGTTACATTTGAGTCACATGTTTAGCACCATGGGTGGCTGAACATGTGCCACTCAAATTAACCCTAAATGACTCTCAAATCACACCTAAATGCACCTTGGTACCTAAATTTTCGGACTTACACATGTGCACCAAAGTTTGAATTCAAATTTCAAATTTGAATTCAAACTTTAGGCGCCATTTTGTGAGGCTTTAGTTTAGGCACCTATGGGTCACAATTCCGTGCATACTTAAGCCATTCTTTCACCTTTTGTATTCACTTTTGAGAAT